TCTCTGTGTTGCCTCAACTTCCCCTGTTCACTTTTTGAATTATTCTTAACACAGTGTATCTTATTTTCCATATTTAGCCCATTATAAAACAAACTTGAGCCCCTTCTGTCTTGCTGTCACAGTAATGCTGTTTTTCTCTTCATTATTCAGTCGGGGGAGGTAAGGTAGCTCTTTTCTGATTCAGAAGCCTATCTTGGAACCTGAGAAATTTCACACCTCTCATTTCTCTCAGCCTCATGGAATCCTGACCCAGAAACACCCTCTGACTCTGGCCTTGAATTTTCCTGAACATATGCCCTGAATTAGTTTTTTTTTTTGTTGTTGTTATTGAAGTATCTGCTATGAACATTGGGGTGCATGTGTCTTTCCAAATTGGAGTTTTCTGCTTGAATGGTTTTTTTACATCATACCATCTCAGCAGCATTCTTTATACTAATTTACCATTTGCATATGAGTCACCAATTCTGACAATCTTAAGCCAAAGGAAGTTGCTGGAAGGACATAAGGGCTCAGGGAATCAACAGGAGGCTGGAGGCATTAAATCATTAAAACTGGCAAAAACCAAGGGAACCCAGAGGACCAGGTTCAAAAAAAGCCAGAGCCATGCAACATGGTGGGTTGATCAGCCGCCACACCTGGTTCCTGCTATGCTGGCCAGTTTCCTTCCAGCATTTGCTCTAGATTCCAGTTCCTGAGACAGTGAGTCTGACTGGGTGAGCCCAGATCATGTGCCATCCCCCAGGGAGAGGGAGGATGGCTCCCTTTCAGGTTCCCTTAGAGGAAGGCATGTGTTCTCTACACCATCGGGACAATGCACATGAGGGAAGGGCAGCTCCCTCCAATGAAATCAGGATGCTCTGAAAGAGTGTCGATGTTGGACAGCCAAAAGCAATAAATGACCAATTTCTACCCATTATCTTGCGTTTCAAAATCCATGACTGATCGACAGTGAGGGTGGCTATGCGTGTGTGAGGTAGACGGGAAAATCTGTACCTTATGCTCAGTTTTCTGTGAACCTAAAACTAGTCTACAAAATAAAGTCTATTAAAAAAGTTTTTAAACCCATGACAATCCGTTTGATATTAAAATTCTCACAACTCCATATTTCTGTTGTACTTCACAAACTCCCTCTTATCTTGGTTCACCTCTTAATCCACATATTTCAAAAGAGTGTTAATCTTGGTCTGAATTATCAATGATTTGGGGTTTTTAAACTATTTTAAAAATTAATTTCATAATCTGCAAAATATTTAATGAACATGAAGTGTGAAGATATAGAGTCTCTTTATAAATCCTTATAAATCAAGTCCAAACGAGACATTACCTTTCTAGGCATTCAATAGGCACCCCAGTTAGTACACTGAGTTTCCAGTAGACATCTGGGAAAAATAAGAGTGTGTGTGTGTGTGTGTGTGTGT